TACTAAACATTGTAGACTGTAGTACCTAGCTACCTATATACCAAAACCCAACTATATGTAATATTATCATTAAGTTTTTATAGTTCCTCTGTGTGTATGTGTGTTTGTAATTGTGTGCGTATATCAGTGTGTGTGTGTGTGTGTTTGTGTGTTATGATTAATCCACATACTTTGTATTATTATATTATAATAATATGTACCTATATGGGTAGCTACCTATTAAATTATGTATTTTATGTACGCCTATAATATGCAATCGGCGCGCAGGTATAACTACACCTATATAGGAATATAGTCGTTGTTGACTGTCGATTGTTTCGCTCTATATTGTAGAAAACTGTGTCTTGGGTGGGTAGGTACCTGTGGGCTGCGGTGCACCTACCTTCCCTAAAGTTGTACTGCACATCACCGAAATTTAATTCATGATTGTTGTGTTATTTCAGGTCTTAAATTAGCCATGAACAAGTCCGTAACCCGTTACAGTCATCATAATAAAAATGAGACATTTCGTCGTTTTCCAGTAGGCGGTAGTGATTCTTCAGTTATTTCGAAGTGCCTGAATAAGTATTTGTTCTAGGCATGCTCCATTTTTCGCCACGGTAACACACAATATTATGTTTAACACCGGAAATACTCTTCTGAACCAATTTTGCCGCGTAACATTACGGAGAAGTCACACGCAGTCTCTGACAGTAACATTTTCTTGCCCAGACAAACAATATACTATACCATGTACACAGTACACATCATTTTCATACATTTTATAATAATCTGATGTTTGAAACGTTTCTGATTTTATTTTCGTAGTAGGTATAGTTTTGATAAACAGCGTGTATTGGATTTACTGCTTATATTATATTGTTGCACATACAGGCATATAATATTTACAAATATGTTGTACAATATGCATCAATACAAATTTTATTTTTATTTTACAAAATTGTGTTTTTGAACTAAAAAAATGATTTCAGTGTGAAGAAATAGGTTTAAAAAATTTTAAGTTTACACTCGAAAAATATTTTTTGTATGGCGGACAAAATTATGGTCAGAGACAGTGTGATTTACATGTTACGTTACACGGAGAAATCAGGGTTTTGCGGCCGATTACCGCGATGAAAAATTTAAACAAACTATCGACCAACGAAAAATAAAGCATGTCAGCATTCCTATATTGGCTATATTAGGTACCTACTCCCTTTTATCCGCGCGCCGACCAAGACCATAATATGTATAGTATATAATATGTACCTATATTGTATGATATAATAATGTATGTACATATGTAGTATATTAATATATATAATATACTGGATAATTCGCCAATAATAATAGTCATTGATCGTCGCCTTTGTCGTCAAATTATGTATTTACTGAATACCAAATTTTTGGAATTTTTAAAGACAATGTAATCAAAAACCATATTTTAAAACTCATGATATTTTTTATAATAGATACCTAGGTACTTAGAGAGTGTCCTGTGGAGATACAAACTTCTATTTTAAAACGATAAACATCGTTTTTTTACAGTAAATTCGAACGAGTAGTTGTTTAGTTGTTTAACTTTTGTACTGAGGCTAAAAAAGTCCATGATAATGGTTTTGAAAGATACGGGGCTACAGTGAGTTGGCTTTTTTAGTAGGTAAGTAATTAATATCAACATTTATAATGTATGAGAATGGTCCAAATGTTTGCACACTATAAATCTATTATTACATATATTTTATATTTTTGTACAACCAGTTTTAAGGATCATTAGGCGTTTAGCCGTTTAGGTATCCTTATTCCTTAGTAAGAGTTATGAACATTTTAATAATTGAAAAATACATGTTCAAATTTTTAGTTGGGTAGGTAATTCAACATTTTAAAAATATTTTAGCTAAATAATTTTCAGTAAAAAAGGTAGATACTAATTTTAAAAACAAATGTTTGTCACCACAGGCCACTAATTAAGTAACCCAATGCTAAAAACCGTCAATAATTTAAAATTTCGGTCTTTAGGGATAGGTTAAAAATTTAAAAAATCAGAATTTGAATATAAATGTATTATTAAATTAAAAAATGGGGGTGAGCTTGCTTGGTGAATTACCCAATATATAATACATACGATATTAAACGCATATGTGATAACGACAAAACACATGATAATATAATATATTATGTATATTGTATTTACAGTATACATTACAATATTACATACATATATATATTATATATATGCCTATTATATAAATAGAGACAACCGATAAACATATTATTATATTATATACCTTCAGCTAAGTTTTAATTTATGTGCATTTTATAATTTTTTTTTATTATTAGAGGTATACTGCTGCAATACATGTTTTTTTTATTCGTTATTTTTTTGTTTTTACTTTTTTTTTTTATTTTAAGCCTATTTTTACTTTTTACCGATGTTTACCTTTGATTTGATGTGCGTACAAATTTTACCAAAGTCAACATATTATAGATAATATAGTTATTACAATTATCTGCATTATTGTATTATATAAGTACCTATTGACGTTCGTAATGCAGAACAATAAACTGTAGATATCCTTTTTGAACCTTGTGCTTAACTGTACTTATTTACATAATATCCAGGTTAGATACGTCCATCTACATCTACATCTACATATACATACCTGCATATATTCTCTTTATAAGATGACTGGAACTTAAAATCTTCTCTAACCACCATTGATCAGCCATGTAGCTGTATAACCATATAACCATATAGCTTTCGATGATTAATAATTGTTCAGTATCTCAAAATGGTTTAAAAAACACTCAGGTGTATGATCATTAGCCGTATAAAGGTAAGTACAACAATAATAATCACAAGAGGTTAAGCTTACTGTAAAGGTAATAACATGAGTTTTTGTTGCTGAAAGACAGTATAGTGAATCATTATTATAAAAGCATTGGCAAACCAACCAATAAAAAAAATTGATTGATGCTCATCTCATAAATAAAATAGATGATTATATTATGATTTATGACCTTTTCCCAAGTTAATATTATTAACTGATACTTAATTGTACAGTTAATTCAAATTACTCATATTGTTATTTTAAGAAACTCATTTGAGTAATAGTTTAAATATTTCTATTATCATATACTTTTTCAAATACTAAGACAATTTAATAATAATAAATACTCACATTAATGCTTTTATACACGTCTATATTGAAAAAAAAATTACAAATTTTAAGCGAATATATGGTTGAATTTTATAAAGTACTAAAATTTAAATTGAAAAATAATTTTAACAAACAATGTACTATTTTTTTATAATATAATATATTGTACAATTAAAATTATGTAGACAACAAATAAATAAAATTAATAAATAATAATAAACTAATACAGTTTGTTATGAATAGTTTTTGCATCACAGCTTTATAGTCATGAAAAAAAAAATTATATGGTAATTGTTATGAGGACTAGGACCTTTGTTTTTATAAATTTTTTTTTCTTTTATGTAGAAAATAAATTGTATAAAATGTTATATAAATGCTATACAAGCAGTAACTACTTCAGTCATTCAAAATTGATTTTTATATACATACATGATGTATGTATATATATATTATGTGTACCTACATATAGATAATTTAATAATAATTAATATATTTGCACAAACAAATTAATGCAAACCATTTTTTGGGCTGCCTTATTAGAATATATATAATTTCTATAGAATCTATAGATACTATTTAGTATTTATGTTTATAATATTATGTTACTTAGACATCTATTATTTAAATATTAAAAATTAACTAGATACATTTAAAAGGTTAGGTAATTGTTATTACCTATGGGCAAGTTTTTTTGTTTCAATATTTTATATATAAATATATATATAAAGTGGCAAGAGTCAGCAAAATATTAACTAAATCAGCTGCCTGTTAGAGGTATATTCGTCTTCATATTTATTGCGATTGTTTTTGTTGCTACACGCGATTTTTAATCTTAAACACGTTATAATTAAAAGTTTTACAATTTCTATAATATTTAAACTTAGATTTAAAATAAATGAAATTTATTTTTAAGTTGTAATCAATTATTTATGGAAGACTAAAAAAAGTAACTATACAGAATAACGACACGTGTACATTAACTTAAGAGATTGGTAATATTTGAATACATTATTTTGACCATTCAAAGAAAACCTTAATGTTAAGTAAACTTTATACATGGTAGCTAGAAAAATGTTTTCTTCCAATTTGTACTTTATATAACGATTGTTAACAGTAACATTATAATGGTTTAAAAATTTGTTATTTATAATAAAATTTAAAACCAAATGGGAAGACAAAGAAATCAACATTTTGTAGCGTTTTAAGTAGGTTAAAATTTGAGTGGCCACATTACAGCCATCTTTATGCGTGTTTTAGTCTGATTATACAATGTTTAAAATTAAAGTTAATCAAAAACTTAAAAATAAAATCAATTAACAATATCACTTTATCAACAGCCTAAGTAATTATGTTATACATTTTCAAAATACTAATTTTCCATTTATGAATAATTTACCAGTCAGTAAGTCCATCAAATTACAATTTGTCGCGCCAAAACAAATAAAACAACAAATCAAAGAAAAAAAATCAATAAACAAATACCAGTATGGAGATTTTGTTTTTCAGTATGACAAATTGTAATGAGACTTAGATTGCTGACTAAAAAATTTGAAAAGAAATAAAATTGTTGTAGACATTATTAAAGAAAAAAAAAACAATGAAGATTGAATGTACTTGATTAAAAGGGTATAAAAAAACTTTTAATCTTGTTTATTATTGCAAATTTTCAAGTTTCATTGTTTTTCTTTTCTTTTTTTTTTTTGTCGTACATCTTTGATTAATTATTTTTGAATTTAAAGTTTTTGTAAGAAAATAAAAATGAATTACAAACAGATTTTGTCAATTTATAGATTTTAGCGAGGAAAAAAATTAAAGGATTGTAGGATCAGTGGTAATGCATTAAATCACCTAGACTCTATACTCTATGGATGTGATATTCCATCAACTTTGGATGTCGTCGGCAATTCTATTTTGTTTATTTAGAAAACATTGATCCTTAATAGGAACTGGCTTTGATCTAGCTGATTGTGTTTTCTAAAAAAAAATAAATGTAAATATTAGTATGCTTTATTATTATTATTTTTTTTTTGATGGAATGACAAGAACAAAAATGTTCATTTCTAAAACGTAAATATATATTTAATGATAGCAAACTCACTCTTCTACTAAATGGAAAACAACCAGTCTTTTCAGGTTCTGGCATTAAATCTAAAATTAAATCAGGCGATCTTGTTTTATTTGGTCCAAATACATTAAGTTCTTTATAGCAACCAGTTTCAATCATCTAATATAATACAAAAAAATATTTATAACATTACAAACATAATCAATAAACATTTAAACATTACATAATTATAAATAAAATGCACTTGAAATCATTAATTTGCATTTAATACTTGCATAAGTAGATAAACAACTTAGTTTATCATTACAGTTGTTGCAATTTTAGCACATTTTTTTTCTTTAGAAAAACATATTATAAAAATAAGTAATAAATTAGATTAATTGAGTTTCAACTGGAGGAGAAGAAAAGAGAAAGCTGATTCTCTTCCATTTTCAGTTCAACCACGAAAAGAAATAAATTAAGATATTTAATGTTGGGTTTATGAAATGTGATAGACAGCATAAAATAAGCATTCAACAAATACATAAGCCCAGATGTCAAATATCATTGAAAACATACTTCATTTTGCCATGGTATAGACACTGAGCCTGTATTGAATTTTGTGTAAAATGTATCGTCTGTAGCATCTAAATTCACTCCTTTGACAGTGGAAAACTGCTCTATATCTAAAACATCCTTGGCATACACAGCATGGGGCTATAACAGAACATGTGCCGTTATTAATTAAGTTATAGAAGTTCATAAAAGTATAACTTAGACATACATCTGGAAGAAACGGAGGATCTTCTACTCCAGCTTCAAGTCTTTTCCAGTTTATGGTCTTAAAAAAATCATGCTGTTTCACTTCCCTTGCACCGTAACGACCATAATGACAACCAAGTCTTGACTTTGGAGACTTTTTCAATAGCTAAAAATAAAATTTTACTAAATTAATTCATATTAAGTTTTTTAAGTTTATATTAATTGTATGTATGCTAAAATTTTAAATTTGAAGTAAAAATTAGGATTTTGAAAATAAATGTATCAATGGGAATATAGTCCTTGTTATTAAGACCTCCTAGCATAACTGTAATAATTATGAAGACATCTATATTCTATTCAATAGAAGAAACATACTGCACAAAGATCAGTTACAGTAGATAGTGGTCAAGCAATGCCAGTCCATCACTGCCACCAAGTCTACAATCTGAACGTCCGCCGTATAGTGAAGCTTTTCAAGTACACACAAATCAGCTACAGCATATGTTTTTTTATTTTGAATCAAGTATAATAATAATGTATAATTCTTACATCAAATAAATAATTTAGAAAAACCAACCTCTGTTTAATAATTTAAATCATATAACAATTATAATAGATATAAGAGTAAGTAAATAAATAATCATTTATATTCAAATACTTAAGTTATTTGTATAATAATGAATAATTCCTTTTAAATACAGATTTTTATTCTTTTTAATAGAACTTTAACATATCAGCTTGCATAGTTCCATAAATACTTAGAATGCCAAAATATATATTCTATATTATAAATAATATGATAGTCAAACAATAAAATTAAATGATTTTAAAAAATAATCATACCCTGCAGTTGAGTAATATTATCAAAATATAAATGAAAAGGTTTATTTTCAAAATTTAATAATAAATGGGTTTGTTGTGTTAACATTAGTCATATAATATTAATATAATAATTATGATAAGTGGTCATACTTGTTTACACAGTAGTTTGGCTTCTTCAGTAAATTTATGAGAGTATTTTTCTTGTTCTTCTTTAACTCTCCGATCAACTACTTCACGTTTAACCTGTTAATCAAAAAAAATTGATTACTAATATTTAAAAAAAAAACTTAAGAAATAAATATGTTTATACTATAAGCCACTTTAGAAAGAAACTATTGTGAATAATATAACATCAGTTTACAACATTAATGTTATATTTCACCAGTAAAAACTAATTAGTTAAAATTACACTTAATCATAAGAGCTACATTTTTTTATATATAAAATTAGATCCTCATAATCCAATACATTGTATAAGCAATTTGTATGCTATAAATAAATTACAATGAAACTATCACAAAAACCATGATACAATTGACTCAGTCACGCTATCTGCTAAAACCTACAAATGCATAAAAATTAGATTTAAAAAAATGTAATTTACAAGTCCATAGAGATGCAGTTATGGTGTATCAGCCTTTGATGGTTTCAAATCCTACAGTATGCTTTCTTTTTATTCCATATAACTTGTGACACATTTATCCCAACCACAGAATGTTTAGACGTACACAATATGTCAAGCATATGAGTATGTATAGTAAAAATAGTAATGTTACAGTTGCATGAAAAAAATATTCTATGCTCACATTATTCGCGCTAGTATGAGCAGGTTTTATAAACAAAGGCCAATGGTGTACACAAAACATGATGTTTATTATATTTTATTTTATACCTACAGTCCAAGTTTAATAGACTACAAACCCGCATAAAAATAAATAGTCAATCATTCCACTTCGCCAATCAAATTAATATTTTAATTATTAAATCTATTGAAGGTACACAATCAGTGATGTTATTACCATATCCAAAACAGTTTTCTCAACTAATTATAGATATTTAAGTATAGATGGTTAAGGTCCAAACAAGAAAATTGTGGTTGTAAGAAATGCTCAGGAAATATTCACAATATCCAATAGTAAACCAAAATTGTTTTAAATTCTCCAGAAATCGTGTACAATGCTAGGGAAATGTGACACAATTAGTACCCACCAGTAATACATCATTGGCAATTGTGTCTTTTTAGTTATTTCTTTGAGTGAAAAAGTGCAGTGTGTAAATTAAAAATAACTGACCAAAATAGTGTTTTTTACAAAAATATAATGTAACTGAATAAAAGTATAAACAATTAGTTTTAAAAATGTATACATGATAAAATAATTGCTAATAGAAACCATTCAAAATCTAAAACCTATAGTAAGATGCCATATACTATTAATTAAATTTGATATAACTAATGTGTTTAATGAAGAAAAACTAATTGTACCTCGAATGCAGGACACTCTAGTACTAAACATTAATTTTGTACATAATTAAGTCATAAAGAACTTTATTCCACTATACACGAAAGTCATATTAACATAGGACATGGTGGGAGAAATTAATAAAGAACTGCAGGAAAGATTCAGCTATAATAAGAGTAACACTAAAAATTATGTAACCCATGTATCAAGAAGAAAATTAATGTACTAATAAATAAATACAATTATTAATTCATTATATTTAATTATTAAATACATTTTTTAGTTTTTAGTTTTTTTTTTCAATGTGCCTAATATATTATATTCTTACATTACCTAAGACTACTTTGATATTGTACAATGAGAAAATACTGATATTTTGTTAATTAACATTTAGAGCATTACGCACAGTGCCCATGCATTTCTTACAATGACCAATTTCCTATTTGACCCGTAATATGTACAATATTAAAAAAAAAAATTTTATTAGATCAAAATAAAACATTTATTAAACCATCTATATTAATTGGTATCAAGATAAATTTAGATTGCTTATTGACACTTAATAGTTAAGATTATACATTTGTTCTTACTTTTTCTTTTCTAGCTCTAAACGGAGCTTGACCTTCAATCATCTCGAATACTAAACATCCAAAGCTAAACCAATCTGTACTATATGTATACTTTTCGTTATCAATTACTTCTGGTGCTATAAAACAAAATGTATAATAAATAATTGTTATAATTAGAGAATACATTATAAAATTGTAAGCAAATCAATATATATTTACCCATATAACCAACAGTGCCTACTCTTCCTCTGACTGATTCACCTTCGGGTATCTCCATTGCTAAACCAAGGTCAGATATGCGAACATGCCCTGCATCATCCAATAGTATATTTTCAGGTTTACAATCCCTGTATACTATGCCTTGAACATGTAAATGTTCTAATCCACATAATACCTGTGGTAAAAAAAGTACTTAGTATGTTAGTTATAAATTATAGAGAAGTTGAAGCATGAAATATATAATGATAGTTTATGATATAAATTAACCACTATAATATTTTTTTACTTCAACTATAACTAATTTTGCTCAACACAAATAAAAATAGGAAAATTACCTCAGCAGCATAGAATCGTGATCTCGAAATATCGAAACCAGGTTCTGACCCCATGTTGTAAATATGAAATTTCAAATCTCCACCATTCATAATAGTCAATACTAAACACAGTGCATCTTTTGTCTCATAAGCATAAGCTAAGCTAACCTAAAATCAAAGAAAAGAATATAAATACTTATGTAAAAACTTGTTAGTGTATTAATTTAAAATACATAAATAACTTTTAAAAATAAATTATAAATAAATATTAACATACCACAAATTTAGAATTAATTTTTTGTAAGATTTGTTTTTCAATTAAAACCATTGCTTCACCTTTTCGTTTTTTAATACGTTTCTTTTCCAATTTTTTACAAGCGTACATCTTACCAGTTGCTCTGACTTGACATGCACAAACTTCTCCAAAACCACCTTTACCAAGTACTCTATACATGCGGAATGTTTTGTATGTAACAGTTTGCCTGAAAAAAAATTATCATTAAGTTTAGATGCCCACTTAATAACACTTCTATTTACAACACAACACTTTCCATTACAAAATTAAAATACATACACACCTTTCTAACCACTTCCATTGTAAAAACCTATGGAAATACATTGAAGATTCAAACAAACTAAATGGACGACCCGCTAAGAACGATTTCACGGCAGTTGAGCAATCAGTAAATAACTCTCTATGAGCAGAGTCTAACTGGTGCCGACATCTAACTATCATGTCTTCGCTTAGTACGTCCACAGCATTAACTGCCTAATACCAAAAAAGTTATTTTTTAATAACCATGTAAGATAAATCAAAATGAAACTAAGATTTATATACATACGTCTCTTCTTATATATCTATCATAAAGTATTTTTGCTAGTTCTACTCTATTTTCATCAGATTCTATTTCATATTTTTCCTGTTAACAATGCAGAATAACCAACATTAGAAGATATGAAAAAAAACTGTGATAAATTTTAGTTTAAACTTACAATAGAATCTAAAAATACATTGTAGCGATGAAATTCTTGTCGTTCTTCTTCACAAAATTGAAGAAAAAGTAACCTGCCAATTGGTTGTTGATCTATAATATAGCTGTATTTCATATCTGAAACATGATTAATTTTAATATAGGTATAAAAGTTTAGATGAACTTTAGGCTTTTGAATCTAATAACTTACCTATTAGTGGTTTAAAATCAACACACTGAGATATATGTGGGAATTGCAGGATTTTTTTCCATTTTTTACTTTTCCCTTTATTGCTATCTGTACCACCTAAAAACAAAAACAAACATAACAATTAAAGAAAGTAAGTCAATAGGTACATTGTTTGAATTAAAAATTCAAAGCTTTGATTAAAAATAAATTTTTAAACAATTTGATCAAACTGTGTTTACTATAACAATTCCTTAAATAACAATGTTATATTTGTAAACAAACATAATATTAAGTTTTAGTTGCCTAAAGAACATTTAAAAGATTTAGAATGAGAAATATTACAAGCTATATGTGTCTCTGAAATATTTCTTTTTAATTTACTACATTATAATAAAGTCAATATTTTTTTCGCAATTTATAACTGTTAAAATGTACGGATGGTAACCTCAATAATAGACAATGAAAGGAATTTAAAGATGATTGTTTGAAATGAACAAATAATACTGAAGGTACTACCTTCCTATTCTTTCATGCATTATAAGTACCTATAAGCTCATTATTATTGTTGTAGTTATATTATGTTGACGTCAGGCTAAGCTAGCTCACACTTATTCAATTGCAAACAATTAATATAAATAAATCTATTTACTAAATTCCGTCTTAAAAGTAGGATGTGTAACTAGCCTACTTGAAATTAAAACTCAAATTATCAATTTACAATAGTAACAAACATAATAAAATAAACTATGATCAGAACCATTAGCTTAAAATTTAAAACTAAACCAATCAAAAACTAGAATAACATTTAATTAAAAATAAGGAACAATCTTAAGTGTCATTCAATTTTTTATATAAACTGCAAAAAATAATATCAAGGTATGAAATAAGTTTTATCGTTTAAAATATCAAGAAAAACAAATATTGACGAAACTTAAAATAGGGCAAATGACTTAATTACTATAAAAATTACAATATATCCATAATAATAACATAATAGTTATTTCATATTATCTCTTTCTCGTTCAACAAGCTTCCAGTGAAAAGCTACTGTACAAAACATCAAAAAGAACATTTAACTCGAATTTTAATGGCAACTATAATCTATAATTGCACCAACTCAAACGAAATACAACGTACTTGATAACTACTGCGAACAATATTTCCTCTCAGTTTATCAACATTAATCAATATCATACTTATACTGAGAAATGAATACTTATGAGTTATGATACACAAATATTGAGACTATGTCAATACTATGGATGGATGTTTAATAGCATATACTATTACTACTGAACAATTGGTTTGGTTTCAAAATAATTTGAGACCATTTATGATAAGTGATCCTAGATATAAATACGATTCCACAAATATTCAGAGAAATAGTCGATTGTAGATTGGACATACATTTTTTAAATGCACGCTATTAATATTCTCATACGTCAAATTGAACTTAATTTGTCCCCACGGCTAGGGAAATATATTATAACATTGAATGTTTGTAGGTACTAGGTAGGTAACTATCTAATAAATTGTATTAAAATTATCAAACTTATGCAAGTTAATCCAAACTTTTATGCATACACAACATGTGACCAAACTCGGAAAGCATTCAAATAGTTTTTATACAAATTAAAAAGTAAACTAATTAAATGATATAACTACAGAAAGTTTAATGAATATCCTTCAAATACACATCTGTTATTATATAAGTTTATATTAAATTAAAACTAATTGAAATATTGTTTCTCATAATGATTTACTTTGAAATTAAATTGTTTGAAAACAATTTTATACACCCTAAATACCTATGACTATATTCAATAAATATATCAATAAATTAACTTAATAACTATAGAAAAAAAAGGATAATGATATCAAATAGTTTGAAAAAAAAACCACAAAATATACCCACAAACCTTAAATTCTTTGTAGCACAAACAATTTAATAAGTATTACGTATATAATTAACAAAACAATAACAATAAGTATTTCCAATATAATGTATATTATATTTATTGACATTCATTAAACATTTCAAACTAATTTAAAACAAATAAATACCAGACATAGGTATACACGTTTGTGAGTACCTACTTACAAAGTATTTATAAAATAGTTTTATCTAAATATTTATACCTACGGGTATTGTTTTAGAGTACAATACACCTTGCTGGTCTAAAAAATATTTTTGCACGATTCATTATTATTTTAACTAAATAACAATTATTAATGTAGGAATTTATGCATGAGTAATTGGTACCTACATAATAATAACACACTCTGTTTTTTTAATAATACTTAACTAGTAGAACTGTGGTATGCCTATAGGGACATTGATTGATCAGAAACTTATAATAAATAGAGGTAGCTATTAGTTTCAGAATGTTTAATGATGAACTATAGAATAATCAATCCTGGTTCTCATAAAATCTTGAGCAAAATACGAATACACAGTTAAAACAAAAAGTACCTAGATGATAAAACTAAATTTTACTTTAACCCATATTAGGTATTTGTGTCAGTGAGTTGTGGGACCTACCCTATGACCAACCTATTTGACAATATTGTTGGGTTACTACCGAGTATTGCATACTGAACATTTTTAATTTTAAATAATTTGGGTAGTATTGAATACAATTATTAAATAATTTACCCGCTGTGGTAGGAGCAATAATATTATGTTGAGTACTGTGTACTGTGTAGGTATTGTATTAACGCATTGCATAGATCAGAAATGAATACATTGACCATTGTTTACGAATCGGTCAAATTGTATTAAGTACTTACCTATTTAACATAATTTCAGACAGTAAGCACAAACACAATGTTTAAATCCTTTATTTAAAAAACAAGTGTGTGCAAATGAATGTTCTCTACTAATACAACGGCATGCAGCACACCTAAGTGGAAGAAAAGTCTCAAGCAGTAATACCTACCTAAATATCGTCGAAAATTTTTGCAATACAAATCGCCCAGAGAAAGTGAGTCGATAAACAATAATAATATAATATATTACTATTGTATAAAATAAAGTGGTGGAGTGTGGACAGAATTTTACCGCAAACGGGTATAGTCTCAGGTATTGGGTAAAGTAGATAACGTGCATGTGCACAGTTTAACGTTACTGTCTTTCGATGCTGCTGCAGTAAAAAAAAACAGTCTACGTATAGAGTTATAGCACGGTCATCGAGACAATGGAAGACCTTGGACGGATGTGTATTTGACCAAAGATTTGCAAATTAGTTAAACAGCATTGCCATGGCTTACGTACCTACATGCACATTATACACAACAATATTATGCATTTGAACATTACACAAGTTATAGACAGAGGTGTGGGTACAACCTATACAATACATACATATATATAGGTCAAAGGGGTCGCCCGAAACGGGTGCATCGGCGATAGGCGTGGCGGGTAGGAGTAAACGTGTGAGGGATTGGGGTGAACGCGGATGGACGCCCCCTCCCCAAAAAACAGCCCTATACTCGCCCCGAAAGAAAAGCGCCCCTCTAAAACGCAACCACGCGCGACCGAACCCCCAGACCGCCTGCAGCGATGTGTACGCGAGGGGTATCTCCTAATCACGTACCCGTGTACATGTACCGGATGACTATCGTACCGGTACAATCGCACTCGGCGACCCAACACACTACCAACTACCCTGACCCACGGAGATCGCAAAAACGTCTGCATGAGAATTATGAATTATAATGGCAATAATAATTATGAATTATGATACTCGCCTTCTCTTGCTTTGAGGTACACGGTATTGGCAACAATGTTTTCTAATTCCATCAGTTCCAGTTTGGCTGATTTCCGGATGCCCGGGCTGACGTCCACCACTTCCCATCAATGACACCGTTAACCGTTTTCGACGTCTTCGTGTCCGCGCGCCGACAGTGTCTGTGCGTGAATAACTGACCGCGTACGTATAATAATATTATAATAACAATAATATTATATTATTACGTGTGAACTTGTGCGCGATCGAGTCGTACGTGTGCGTGTGAGTGTGTGTGCGCGCGCGCCCCCGACAAAATCTTCCGGTTTGCGTGTTGATTTTTTTTCCTAGCTTCGCTCACCTCCACTTCGCGCGGATCAAATTTTATCTTTCTCGCCCGTACACGCCTAACAGTCGTCAATAACTATTCCAAACGGACGTGTGCGCGGACACGCATATTGACAATAACAATAATATGTGTGTCAAAAATCAAAATTTAGATTAAAATAATTATTATATCAAATTTATTATTATTATTATTTGACTTCGTTATCACAACGCTCCGAACAAGACGTAACGATAGCGTAACGGAGACGGCTAATCGGTGGTCGGTACCAACAGCCGATTGCTCGAGATACGCGTCGACGGCGACGGCGGCACGACTAGCGGCAGCAGGTACGAGAAAAGACGTGTGCACCTACCTACCTACCTGTCTGCCTGCAGCCTACTTACTACTACGACTAACGCGGTTGCCTATATTATTGTTATTATAATAATTATGACGATGGTGATGATGATAATGATAATATAAAAACGGACGACGATGATATTATAATATTATTGCTAATAAAAATACTACTAAACAGCAGTCGTAGCGGTAGTCGTAAAATAGTAACAGTCGTCGGCGATTGATAACAGTATTAATCGTGTTATTTTTTTTTTTTTCGAACGATCACTGGCGCGGCCGAGTCTTCGTCGTCGTCGTCGTCGGCGGCGGCGGCAACGTATACAGCACGGATTCCTCCACCCCGCGCGCGCGAGAGAGACTACCAACGAACAGTGCACGCGTTGACGTCGTCGACGCTAGTGCCCGCGCGCCGCGTTCCCGGTTCCTACCGCGGTGCTAGCTGGTGCTGCCGCCGCAGATCGTGCGTGTGTGTGCGCGCGCGCCGGCCGTCGAGACGGTCCGATTACGGCCGTAGGCGCAAAACATCGAACTGCTCTCCGTGTTGTAGTGTGCTGTTTCGTAGTAACGGGCCGCCGGCGGTTACCCCGCCCGCCCACAGAAGGTGGCCCACCCTCACCGCCGCGGCCGTTTCGTTTCGACGCTCGTTCGTTCGTCGTCGTCCGGCGACAATGCGCGCGCAATCCGCGGGCGACGCTGCCGCGCGCGCGTTTCGTTCTCCGTCCTCTTGCGCGGCGACGGTGGCCCTTAAAACGCGCGCGACATACGCGAGGAGGATCGACTTTTCGCGGGTGTTCCGTACCAACACGCCGGGTGTGGGCGGGGGGGGGGGGGGATACACACATTTTGGGATTCGCCGTTGCGAGTAAAAAATAATAATAAAATGAAATCACAACCCCCTCCCCCTCCTCTCAAACGCTTTGATGATTTTTTTTGCTGTTTGTTGAAACAAAATATATCATGTTATCTTACCTATATCCTGAAAGAAGTGCTTGAGTTTGAAGTAAAGAGTTACATATTACGAGTATACAATGCCTATACATATATCATTATACCGCAACTTGTAAAGTGGAATGAGAAAAAAGAATTAACAGATTAATAAAATACGAGTAATTGAACTATTGATGTATTTCATGCAAAAAGACATTTATAATCTTATATAAGTTAAAATTAGAGTTCATCTAGATGCCAACGATAAACTGTTTAATAGAATGATTATTTCTTATAGGTATATAAATTTTCTATATTGAACGTGACATTGAAATTAAAAAAGACGGACCTGAATAATCAATGAATATTTTGCCAATACCTACTTGTATTTGCAATATCACATTGCGTTCTATTATAAACTTCGGATATTAACATTATTACTATTTACTGATCGATAATTTTTTAATTATAAAAATCATTTTTTATAGAGTAAATTATAACGACTAACGAGCACAGTATACCAAATTTTTTATAATTTGGTTTTTTAAATCTACCTATACAAATAATTATTTTTTTTTTCAATTTGTAGGGATTATTTTGTGAAGCAAAAAATTCTTTTTTGACTTGTTATTATATTATTTACTCTCTAACGAGTTGGAATTTAATAACTTGAAATGAATAATTTATTACAATCTCATTTAAGTAAAGTTCTTCTGTAAATAAACGACGAATAACTAATATCGAAATCTCAATGATTGTGGTCGAGGTGCCACTGAACATATAAAATGATACGGTTCTGATTTGAGGTGAGACAATTATTTCTCCAGCGAAATGAAATATTTCTCTACATCCCTGGTGGTTTTTCTCCGAAACGCGGGGTTTGTCTTTTGCTTTTTTGTGTCTATAGTGATCGTCGAGCCGCAGTAATAAATTACGTTATAAATTAAAAAAGTAAAATGTTACCACTACCTATAACGTAGGTATAGTAACGTAGGATGTAAAGGTGCAAATATATGAACCGAAATCCATCAAAATATTGATTTAGAGTAAACCCGGCACCCCCAACTATGGTTGTAGACCTTATAGTACTAGACAAGCAATGAGCGTGTGGAAAGCGTAACAACATGGAAGCCGCTTTTTGATTACTCGATTATTCTCACACACGGTAGTGCGGGGTAACAGGGTAAAATATATTGATGTATAAATTATTGAATTTTTTTTTCATTAAGACAGCCTACATCATTGCGAGATGTTGTTACGCAGCCCACACGCTGTTGTTGTATTCAGATATTGTCTATAGGTAGTAGCTTAATGTCTATGTTATCGACATACTTATTTCAAATTATATTTAAATAAATTTTCAAGATTTACAATATTTTCCATTTGATATTTAATAAAACATATCTATTAGACCAACAGAGTAGCTGACAATATGATCGACACGGTTCTCTTACCACATTTTTCATGACAAATAACAACAATAAATCCTTATTGACTGTGTTCGTCTACCATAATATTAGAAATCTAGCTAATACTACAAAAACAAAATGTTAAATAATTTTTATTTGGTTTAAAATCACAGATGAAAATTATGTCTCCTTTGTACTTATACTCGGTGAAGACTTAATTTGGGGAAACATGACACAGTTTTAGGGGCCAAAGTCCCCCACACTTTCACCCCCCCCCTCCCATTTGCGCCAATTATATAACTTCGTTATCGCCTATAGTTACCTGTACGGTATACATAATAATTAATAATAATATATAGTATAAATAATTAATATATATTACTACTATTTTTAATAAGAGCACCGCGAGCGTCACGAAGTTATACATTATAATTTATAATATTTTTTTCTAACGCACTTCGACATTCACGTTTGTGACGGATCTGCGTGCACCGTAAAACGTCTATATTATAATAATAATAAGGATAATAATATGAATTTCGCGTTGGCCCGCGTGCGATGATTTCCGTGACGACTAATAAAATAACAAACAACCACGTTTTCGACTTTGACCGATTTCGCGTGATGATATTCGAGTTCGTTTTTAAATTCAAACTCGGCGCTTGATCTGACCTCGCTGCAAGTTCCCCCGCGAACGGTGTATAAATATATAATATAATGTATACATTATACGTCCCGCGGGGACATCGTCCCGGAGTAGTTTATATATTATAATATCATGTATATTGTATATATATATATTATATATGTATATGTTATATTGTACACGCTGTATCTGCACACGCGACGTAAAATAAAGAGGGAGGCCGTTTATCGCAAGCAATTTAAAAATCGTTAATCCTCCGAATGCTGTGCCGAATTTTTACGCGTACCATATTAGACTTTATATTATATTAAACATTATAGCAGTCGCAATCGAGTATATATTGTGGTTCGTGCCATTGCGTTTAGCGTGTCCTCCTGTTTTCACCTATTCATTATAATATATTATATAATATGTATAGTCAATCGCATAACCAGTATAATATATCAATAAAGTGTGCAGGTATTATATTTTTATATAACGCAGAGGACTGCATTATTACACCGACCTCGGGCTCTCTGCTCTGTGCGCGTTTTTCAGGCGGAAAACTCGCGTGGATGAGTAGTTTGTATCCTTACTGCAGCAGCAGTAACCGCCGATACCGCGTTGTCTGTGTATTGGCATACCATTTTCAACCTAAAAAAATTGATGCAATCAATATTTATCAACTCTCGCGAACCGAAAAAAATGACGTGTATCGAAGTGATCGAATAATGTATTGTTATTTACTAACTATAAAATAACAAATTGTTTTTTCTCTCTTTTTCACATTTTTTATTGTTTTTTTTTCTTATTTCTTATTTGTAAATATTGGTTTTTATTGTAATTTAATAACCCTCTACGTTCAACACAAGCTATAATAGTAGCTTATAAGAGAAGGATAATACAATTTAATTAATTGTATCTAAAAAAAAACTGTATCATGTACTTTTATAATTATGATAAAACTTAAAATAAATAAATGTATAATATGATATAAGTGATATAATATAATACATATAATAATAATAATATGCATTTAACATTTCAAAACAATATACTATATAATATCAAGGTATACAAATACATACATAATCAATTTGGTTCTTGTATCACCAAATAATTACACTACGTGATTGTCACTACATACGTGTAATGTATATGTATATAATTATGTCTACAAAATTAGTAACATTAAAATGAGAAAAACGACCTATATGTGGCAGCCTTTCGAAAATAGTTTTTCTAAAATGTATAACACTATAATTAAATAATTTAATAATAATGATATGTTTATTGACACCCGCATTTAGGGTAATAGCGCACAAAGAGTTTTTTACAATATGTAAATTTAACTTGAGAGTTTATAATATAATATGTGCAATAAGTATTCTTGTACCTATACGTCCTACATTATTTAATAATATT